TTTTTTATATAGATTGGATATAAGGTCTCGATCTCAGTTCTTGTGAGGGTTTTAGGGGCCCTGAACACTTTTACTTGGAATAAAGATAGCAAATGTTTTAAAACGTTATTTTAGAATTGATGATTGTTTTATTTTTAATTGTTTAAAAATGTTTTAAAATATTTTTAAATTGATCTAAAGAATATAGCGCTTAATGCTGGACCCAAAATTTACCGGCTAAAAATGCAATAATTTTAACTTCAGTTAAATTTTAACATCAGCTTTGATGTTTTAAAACTTTTTTAAAACAATTAAAAACATATAAAAAATGTTTTAAAATGTTTTTTTACCATCTCTAACTTGGAATACCCTACTTAGTATGTTATTGCGATATAGCACACTAGTTATCCTTAACTACTGGCACAAGTTAAAAATATTTTTTTTAAATATCATCGGGAAAATAAATATGGTGCAGATCTGCGACCCTGAAAATTTTTAACAAATTTCACAATATCTCATGATCTAACAATCAGAACTTAACGAATCCAGTACTATTTGAACCATCTCGATGAGACGGATCAAATGGTACTAAAATTATTAAAATTTGATTACTAGGTCATAAGATAATTGCATTTACGTTGTACTCTCGTTATACTGATGTAATATGTAAGCTAGTCTTCGGATGGCCCACTCGTTTAAACTAATAAAGTGCCAGGAGCCTAAGTGGTCACCTCAATATTAAAAAAAAAAAATAAATAAAAATAAATGCATTTATAGTAGGAATAATAAGTAGCCCACTCCTCTTAACTTTTTAAATCGAAATGCTAGAGTTTTGAAAATTTTACTGTAAATAGTACTAAATAAATGTAGATCAGATATAAATTTTTATAAAATTTTAATTACTACAACAAAAGTTAGATGAGAGCTAAAATTTGTTAAAATTTTGACTTTTTTTAATATTAAAATTTATTAAATTTAATTAAAAATCAATAAAATATTAAACTTAAATTCTAAAATTCTAAAAAAATTAATTTATTAAAATTTAAGTATTTTTATAATAGTGACAAAAAATTTGAATTAATTTAATGAGATAGTTATTAAAAAATTGATTTTTAAAGTTATATGAAAAATTTTTACTTAAAAAAGATATGTTCGATTTTGCTTTTATTTAATAAAACATAGTTGCACAAACACTTTTTAGTAAAATTTTTATACAACTTTAAAAATTAATTTTTCAATAACTATCTTATTAAATTTGTTCAAATTTTTTTTGTCAATACTATAAAAAATACTTTAAATTTAATATATTAATTTTTGAAAATTTTAATTAACTTTTATTTAGCAAAAAATAAGATTAAAAATTTTATTAAATTTTAGCTCTCATCTAACTTTTGATGTAGTTATTAAAAAAAATTAAAATTTATTTGCTGATCTAGAATTATTTTATACTACTTATAGTATAGCTTTTTAATTTAAAAAGATAGCAGAGTGAAGATACTTATAACTACAACTGTAAGCTATTTTATCTCAAAATTTGTATAAGTTATTAAACTTTATCTGGCAAACTTATATTATTATAAAAAAAATTTGGTTTGTTTATCTTTTTTAAATTTTATAATACAATTATATTTATTTAAGTATTCAAATTAAACTTAGTAACCAAATTAGCAATTTAACTCTTCCTGATGATCACTCAAACCAATTTTTCTAACTAATGAAAAATAAAAACTCTGTTGTAAAGTTGAGTAGATTATAGTAGTAGTTTGTAGAAAAGAGGTCAACTAGCTCTGGAGACTTCTCACTATTTTTGGCATGCAAGGCAAAAGCCTAGTCAAGAGAAAAAGGCAGATGACAAGCACTATAGATTCTGGTAAACAAAAGGTACATCTATGAAGCTCTGTAAACTATAAGATTTTAGTAATAGTTTTTAGAGGAACAAAGATCAACCTAGCTGGGGGAATCCACTCTATATTCAGCATGCAAGCCAGAAGCAATGCATATGAAGGAAAAGACAGGTGGCACTCTTTACCATAGCAAATTTTAGTAAAACAAATGTTCTGTTGACAAAACTGCAAAGTCTTTCTTCAGAACCTAGGGGTACAACAGCGTATATATTTTCTTGAGCTGCTCTCTTTTCATCTGGTCAAGTAGTTCTTTTTTACTCTCTTTCATTCTCCCATTGGTCTTCCAAAAAATTTCAATAAAAAGTGTGAATTTGGCTTATCTCTTCTAAAAATTGGCATTGTTTACTTTCCAAATTTGGATAGATTAGTGGAATGCAACCATGTGTTTGTTTATGGACAAATAGTGCACTTTTTCAAGAGACTTGGCCTGGAAATTTTAATTATGGCAGCAGGTGGTTTGAGATATGGATCTTTGGATAATAGCAACATCTGGCTTGAGATACAAATTAGGACAGACAATGAAGCAATTTGGAGTTGGTGGGAAGATCAGAAAGTAAATTTAACTTTTAAAATGAAGCTTTACAAAAGGGATATACAAATATTGTATTTGGTATATAATTTTTATCAGCCTTGCAAGGGTTATAATAGTACCTTCAGGTTTTAGATTTCTTTTTATGTTTTTCTTTTTGCAAATAGTGTTTCTTTTTTCTTTTCTGTTTTTTCTTTTTTTCTTGTCATTTTCATTATTTTTTATTGAAAAATTTCCCCTTTTATCTCATGCCTCTTGAGAAAAAGAAAGAATTAAAAGGGAAAAAAGAGATCCTGATGTGGTATACAACAACCTGTCAAATAATTAAGGGGGTATCCTTTGTCAATACAAAATCTGAAGTAAGTTTCGGATCCTGCTGTGAGACTAATAGTTGTTATAGCAGGTCACATTGGATTTCAGCTTGGTGAGTTTCTATTAGAATAGAGCATTACACTATTTTAGGTTGTTATTTGTATAATAATCTTATAGTAGTTCATAAAATAAATAGAAGCAGAATTGCTTAATAAAAAAAAAAAAATTTAAACTTAATAAGTGACTTCCTACCAATCATGATTATAAATTGCTAGATAATGCTATTATTGGGCAAAAATTATTGAATACAGTATTTAACTTATTATATGGGTGGACAGATAGCTTCTCATTGCTAAAGAAACAGCATTCGGGCTATTGTTCTTAAAAAATAATATTATCATTTAAAGAAACATCGTAAGTACTGTTTATATTTTATATCGATTATGAAATTTTTTATTCATTAATACAACAATTTAGCATTCAAAGAATATATTAATCTATCCAAAAAGGTTGCTGATTTTGGAATAACTAAAAGATAAATGAGACGTCATAATATAAATTGTTTATGGAATGCTGCTTATATGGAACAACAATGTTTACTGTCTACAAATACAAAGGTAATAAGAAATCTAATGCTTATAGTTTTAGAATAATCCTTTGGAAATTTGAATCCTTGGATATTTACGAACTTGTACAAACTGACACAAGAATCCTACCAATCGATCAGAAACGAAATTATTTTTCAATACTTTAAAACTAAAGAAAGGTTTAAATCAACTTATCACCAACGAATATAGAAATACACATTAGATAATTTAACCTCTTTAAGTCTTCTCGAACCACATATTAATCAATTTGAAGTTAAAGTATCAGCTCTATTTCATTTACCTGACACAATATTCAGCACGTGACAATAATATTCTTGAGTGTATGAGATAGGAGGCACCCGAATATTTTATCAAGGCAGACCTTTCAAACATTAGGATTTATGAAAAAATTCTCGAGAATAGAGTCTTGAAGATAAAGAAAATGCTTCAACGTGGAATTTTCTCATGCATGTAGATTAAACAAAATAACCGATATAACAAAGGAATTTTGCAAAAATACCATGCTTGCATCTTTGGATTTCACTGGTAATAATTTTGAATCAAAGTTATTGACAGATGCACTTTGTAAAAACAATACGCTAAAAGATTAGAATTTTCGATATAATAATATTAAATCAGAAAATGCACTTTGCAAGAAAAATACCCGAGTGTTTTTAATCTCGGTACTGCTCACTTCACCGACAATCATTTCACCGAAAGTTCACTTAGCCGACATCACTATTGGTTAGGATTAGCACTTCATTAGTTGCAGGTATATATTTTTAGTAAATTTTCACTTGGCGTGATGTCGGCTTAGTAAGTTGTCGGTGAAATGATTGTCGGTGAAGTAAGTCGGATCCTTTTAACCTTTGGTATAATAATATTGGATCAGAAGGAGGAAAAGTAATAACAGATAAACTTTGCAATAAATATTTGGAATAATAATCTTGGCTCAGAAGTAGGAAAAGCATTAGCAAATGCCCTTTGCAAGAACACTATCACTCTGATTCCTTTGGATCTTCAATATAATAATCTTGGCTCTGAAGAAGAAAAAGCATTAGCTGATGCGCTTTGTAGGAACATCACACTACTTTTTAGAACTTGGTTGAAATAATCTTGAATCAGAAGTAGAAAAAGCATTATCTGATGCATTTTTAAAGAAAACCTCGCTGATTTTTATGAACTTTTAGCGAATAATATGAATATTAAATAAAATCAATTAATCCAAATACAATAAAGAATAATATATTATAAGTCGAAATAAATTAGCGTAATTAAATTGTATTTATTGTAAAGTCATCTGTTAAACATACATCTCATATCATTTTTCATTGCAAAATATAACGTTAAACCGAATAAATACGAATAATGTCACTATTGACTACGTATTACATTTACCTTTGGCGGAGAAGTCATTCTAGCAATTATTATGTAATGTGTAATTATATTATACATATATTTGTCGTACGTACATATTGTGTCATCAACTAAAAAAATCATAACGATAAAAGGAGAATGTGGAACTATAACCGATGCTAAAACTCCGACGGAAACACATAATCAAGCCAATAGCTCTATTGATTTTTTTTCATTTGAACAAAATTCTAAGGCCATCTTACGGCTTTAGACTTCTATTGGCTTTTCGTTCATTCTACAAACTGACAATATCTGCATTTTCTTCCATACATCATGACCAAAAATCATTCGCAACCTTCTTCACTCACCTTCCTCTCGACTTTTAAATCAATTTTTACTCATAACTCTTCCAAAACTAGTTCAGAAATTACGCAAACCCAATTAACACTTCTCAGTAAAACAGATCCAGAATATGAAATGATCAAAAGTCTGTTCGGTTTAACACCAAAAATTCACGGAATTGTAAAATTGAAAATGCCAACAAAATTGGAAAATAAACATGAGAAATACAAGAGGTCATTAATTAATAGATCAAGAAACGCAGATGCTGTTACATATAAGATGTTTCACGGAACTAAACGTTTGCTTAGATGTGATCTTTTAATATTCAATGATCAAGGTGTAGATATTAAAAAAGAAAATGAAAATCCGAGTTACTGTAAATATGGATGTGGTTTGTGCGGAATTTTGCAACAAGGGAATAGAAAAAAATGTTCTAGATCAAAAAGTAAGTACCTATAGTTCCGAAATTAAGCACCGTCAAATTTTATGTAATATCCGAAAATAAGCACCCACTATGTATAACCGTAACTGATTTTTTTACTAAGAAAGCCTACTTTGTGTTTCTAAGTAAAGTTATTCTCCAAGTCAAGTCGATTCTAATGGCAGTAAATCATCAGTAGAACTCTCACAATTGCTCTTCAAAGTTCGGGCGACTTTTCTTTACGAGTATGCAGATCATGTAAAACAAATTTTTGAAGAGATTGCGAAAATTCTATTGGACAAATTTTACGATTTTACTGCCGTTAGAATCGTCTTGACCTGAGGAACAGTTTTACTTAGAAACAGAAGGTAAGTTACTTAGTACAAAAATTCTGTATTATTTATTCTTAAAATTATATCCGAAATTAAGCACCTCTTATGACAAAAAAAGGGTGCTTACTTTCGGAACTATACGATATATGCATTTTAATAATAGATATAATCAGTTTTTTAATACTTTATTTTTACCATTTGTTAGAAATGTGGTTTGCACAGGAATCTAATACATCTCTAGGTTATTGCAATTATGGTACAAAGACTAAAGTCATGTTCGTTATCGATTGCTTAACAAAAAAACGGCCTACAGGCGTATTTATTACCAGTAAAGAAAAGGTAATCGTGTATTAATCTTTCTCCAAATTTTAATTTACTTTAATTCTGATTTATTTATTATTTAATTATAAAATGCAGGCAACACTTCCAAGATATTTAATAATTTTTGATGATCCTTACAATTTTCCACTTTTCTGCACTAGTTAATCTTATTAAAATTATTTTATTTTATGCATATTTCACATTTAATGTATATTATGTTATCCGTGTATAAATATTTTCATTTTAACACAACACATTCGTTATTCATGCATATTTATAATATTATTACTTAAAGAAACTTTAAGCGATGGCAAATAAATAAATAACAATAAAGCTTTTTAAGAATGAATTAATCAAAATTGTCAAAAACAAAACTCAAACCTGTTAACTTTCCAAAACCAAAAAAGTTGCTGCCGTAGTTTTGTATCGTTATCACGATTTAGAAATATGCGATAATACTCCTAAAATAGATTTATTACAACAAATATTAATCTAGAAATTCTTTTAATAGTTTAATTTCTTGAGTTCTGATAATAGAAGCCGTATAATCTCATAGCTATTCGGATAATTATCCAGATATCAATAGTAAATGAATAATGAACAAATTCAGATCCGGATACTTGGATAATGAATAACACATATCCGGATAAACGCTTAATGAATTTGAACTCTAATGCAACAATATATTCTGCACAAGGTTAGTTTATCTATTTAATTTACATCAGTTCTAAGTCGTCTTGAACCTTAGTCTGGTCAATATTTCAAAGACCACAATCTTTGAATCAAGACGAACCAATCAATAGCCCTTGGCTATTTTATAGCATTTATCGGTCTTCTCAATTATTCCGACACAACTATATTAACATAACAAGGATATATAATATTTAGAGAAGCCCTAGTATAAAAATATCCAATTTTAGTATGATATATATATGAACTGGATTATGCACTATACACTTTGTATCTTTATTATAAAACTGCTAATAGTTTAAATATTACTAAAATAATCTGTTATATAATTAAACAAAAATATTTTTCTTGCAATTTATCCTACTTATAGAATTTGGCTAAAATAATCAATGATTTACTGATTATAGTGTGTTGCAATAATAAATTTATATGCCTAGCAAAGGTGGGGTGGGAAAAATGGGTTAAACATGTTATCAGTCTAGATCAGAGGTTCAAAAAAATTTGGGGTTTGGTATTGATTTGTTATTATGTAATTTGGTACCTAAAGTTTAATTATACGGATTTGATGACCAAATTTTAGTTAAATTTCATAAATTCGCCGTGATGATACAATACTTTATATTATTATGCTTATAAATATATATAGTTATTTAAATTTGTCTGTAACCTAAAATCCTACTAAAGTTACTAAAGCTTATCTAAATATTTAGACCATTATATTTTATATAGGGATAATTTATACACTGCGCCTCGCGATGTTGCCGCATCCCTGCAGATCATAAAATTAGGTGTAATGTGAAAT